GACAAATTAGCTGAGGATGCAAAGCTAGATCCCATATTGAAAAGTATATTGTTCAGGATAAAAAATAATAAGTGGAATAATTATTGCTCATGAGCAGAAAAGTGTTTTAAAGAGGTTAAACACAAGTTAACCGTAGAAAAAGGTGTAATTTATAATGGATAGATAGTGGTTCCCCCAGCAACACAAAGAAGCAAAATTATAAAAAGTACACATGACAATATTTGTTGTGGAATAAGATCTACACAAAGGAGATTGAGGCGCAAGGCATGGTGGCCAGGCTATTCTACAGATGTAGAATATATAAAAGGTGTAAAGCATGCATTGAAAGATGAAAATTCAGACAGACAAAATCACATACATGGCCAAAAGAGTCCCAACCTTGGGACAGAGTAAACATGGATCATGCTCATGTTAATGGAGTGGGATTATTACTAATATGGATAAGTGCATATTCAGGCTGGTCAGAAGTAATACAAGTCTCCAACAAAAGAGGTTTGTGAAACAAGCATTAAGGATTGTATTTACAAGAAATGGAATTCTGAAAATTCTAGTATTTGAAAACGCCCCAGAGTTCTTTGATGAGGAACTATGCCAATAGTTGAACAAAATTGGATGCAAATTATATAAAACCCTACCATATCATCTGCAATCAAACAGATTAATAGAAAGGATGGTGCAAACTATAAAAAATGGGTTGAAAATATGTGTACAATGGAAAGAAAAGATAGGAACATTTCTTCTTAGATTGTTGCTAAGCTATAGGACAATACCACATGCTGGAAGATCAAAAAGATTGAGGTTCATTACTTCTGAAAGTAAGAAAGAGCAGGAAAAATTCAAAGATACAATCTTACGCTGGGTCAAAACTGATATTTTTTTTTGACAGACAAATTAGCTGAGGATACAAAGCTAGACCCCATATTGAACAGTATATTGTTCAGGATAAAAAATAATAAGTGAGATAATAATTAGTAGAAAGGATAGTGAAAACTATAAAAAATGGGTTGAAAATACAATGGAAACAAAAAATAGAAACATTTCTTCCTAGATTATTGCTAAGCTATAGGACCACATGCTGGAAGATCAAAAAAAACATCCGCCCTCTTGGGTAGACAAATTAGAGCCCCATTGACCATGCCTGATGCAACCAACAAAAAACTGTGGTATAAAAAGAATAGTGAATGTAATCTACAAGAGGCAAGATCCATAATGGAAAGTGAACAGAATAGCATGATAATAGAAAAAGATGCAAACTGGATATTAGCGCATGCAGACCAAGTTAGATTGCAACGTGATAGTGATGAAGAAATGTACAGTGAGCCTGAAAGTAATGAAGGCAAAAGTGTCATGTCAACAGAAGACAGACATGACAGTGAAATTGAGAGCAATATAAACTCTGAAGATGAACATCTATTGTAGGAACACTCCAATGAAAAAAGAAAAAGATCACAATCTCCCATATCTAGACAATCCCTTAGAAAAAGGGAGGAAGATAGTGAGGAGACAAAAGCTCTCAGAAGAAGTATCATGAAAAATAAGGGGATAAAATCTATTCTGTACAGGGAGATAAGGGGACTAAATAGCTATGGCTATTACTCATGAGGCAGTTGAGAACATACTACTACACAACAAAATGCAAGTCCATTTATTTATTGCTAAAACCAAAGTTATTTTATGCTTTTCTAATTTCACCAAGCAAGGCAATAAAGCCATGAAGGTACAAGGGGTTACTGAGTGTAAAAGAGTATGAGAAAAAGAACATTACTAAGTAAAGAAAACAGTAAAAGAACAGAAATTAAGAAGACTGAAGATAATGATTGACATTGCATTTTTAATATTTAATTCAAGTTTGACTTGAAAGTAAGAAGCTGGAAGAGAGTTCCACAAGCAAGACGTGAGAGAAAAGAAACTGTTAGCATAGAACTTATGGTTACATCTAGCCATTTCAACTGTAAAATGATGAGACCTAACTGCCTATCAAGTACTGCACTTAAATTCATAAAGTTGAGGTACCAAAGGGGAAAGCTCATCAGAACAATTATCATGAAAATATTTATAGAAAAAGTCACAGGGAAGCTAAGTTATGGCAGTGGGAAAGTGACTGAAGCTGAGATGCCAGGTCAGAACTAGTAACATTGCAGATTCTTTAGATTTTATCAAGAATCTCTAAATACATAGCAGAGGCACCAGACCCTATGTGATAGCAATACTCTTTCTCAAGACAATATTTTACAAAGGCATGTCTGCATGTATAAAGAATAAAAATAGGATTTTTGTTTGAGCCTTTTTACTCTTTAACAACAAAATAATTAATGTTAGGAATGTGTGTAAATATAAATATATGAGCATGTGGCCAAGTGGTTAGAAAGTTTGCTTTCTGACCATGAGACCAAAGTTCAAATCTCACCATAGTCAATTTGTCTGGAAGGTGACTTCTTAATGCTATCAGCCTGGGGAGGCGATCACAGCATACAGCAAAGTGTCTGCAGATTATACCACGAGTTGACCCAAGCTGAGTGAGTGAAATTGAGTAGAAAGAACTATTTGGAAGCCATCAATAGTTATGCTAGCAGGAAGACACAAGTCATCGTGACCAAGGCTTTGAGTGTACTGGTATAGTTTAAAATTCTGATTATGCCAGATTATGCACTCTTCCAGAAATTGTAACTAATCTTCAGTTATTATAGGTTCAGTATAAACTATGTGTGGGCTCTGTTGGTGTTAAGCAAACACAAATATGCCTGAGCAGGCATCTGCAACAGGGATTAGCTAGCCACTCTAGCAGTCAGATGTAGTCTGAAATGAGTAGCCAGTCATTATATATATATGATATACAAATTCATCTATCAGACAAATAGTGAATAATCAAATGAAAAACAGACAAAAAAATTCCTAAGTAAAATATTTTGCTCCAATAAGAAACTTCTTTTGATTAATAATAGTTTTGTTGATGAAGTCAGTGTTTTTATATATATATATATATATATATATATATATATATATATATATATATTACCTTATGTTGAAAGTATGACTCGAAGTTTCATGGTCAGTACAATCTTCAGATACTTATAATGGTGATGAACTGTTCCTTACAATCATTAGTATTTTCAAAAATTTTTCAAAATCATAGCTCTGTATTACAACATTGAGCACAAATTTATATATGCATATGATCACATGCATGCATTGTATCTATATTTATTTAATTCATAATTGTATATATATATATATATATATATATATATATATAGTTAAATACATACCCAGATCAATTCTGTGGGCAAAACAAATTGGGATAAGATGACAAGTGGAAAAAAATCTTAGTTTTTGCTGATGCATTTCATTTTGACCCTGAAAAAGTAAGAAGATGAAACGCATTGTCAAAAAACTAAAATTTTTCCAGTTGTCATCTTATATATATATATATATATATATATATATATATATATATATATATATATATAAACATTTGAAGTTGGCAAGATCAAACTTTTACAAAGTATACAGTTAAAAGTATTCAATACAATATAATGTAGAGCTTATAAAATGTATGTTTTATATAAGTATATAAAATGCATACACTATATATATTAAAATTACTATATTTATAATGGAAATATCAGATAGTGTAATGTTGATTTCTATGCCCACACTGTCTTTTCTCTCTCTCTGTGTATATATATATATGTATATATATATATATATATATATATATATATATATATATATGTGTGTGTGTGTGTGTGTGTGTGTGTGTGTGTGTGTGTGTGTGTGTGTGTGAAAAATATATAGAAAATAGGAAAGAACTCATTAGGTAAATAATCCAAAGTTCTTTAGTATTTTTGTTATTATTTTAAAAAAAGTATACAAAAGTAGAGCATATATAGCATGTTGGAATCATATTTTTAACTAAATAAATATATATATATATATACACATACACACAAACACAAACACACAGATATATACCACGGTCTGAGAGTCACCATGTGTTGTTTTTTATGTCCTATATCTACAAATGTTTTATCTTCCAAAGTGAACTCTCTTCACCAATAAATATAATACATTTAAAAAAAATTGCACACTCACATTCCTTACAGTATATTTGGGAAAGTTGCTGAAATTTAAAAAAATATATCTATGAACACAAAAATGATCTTATACATAACAATTTATCAAATGCATTAGGCATACATAGAAATAAGCTGTTTTATTTAATAAAAAAATTATCATTTAATAAAAGAGAGATTGCTGCCCAAATACACAATTTTTAAATTACTTGACTCGACAGCCAACAAAGAAAGTAACACTCAGAAAAAACCTTGTTTTATGATAAATAAAATTATATATATATATCAAAAGAGATTTTACTGGAAAATACTTAGCCCAATAAAAAGGGATCCCACAATAAAATCTGAATCCATTTAGTCAGATATTGGGAAGTGGGTCAGGCTTTGTAAGCGTATACCAAATAAAATATATATATATATATATATATATATATATATATATATATATATGTATATATATAAATTTTACCAAAGTCATAACAAAAAAGCAACAAGTGGAAATCTATGTGAAGTGATGCCCTCTCACGAAACTGTGACTCTTGGAACATATCCAGGTGAAACTGAGGTAAGGCTGAGGAGCATAGTTGTACACACATAAACACACAGGTGGGGGTGATGAGTTGGGTGGGAGGGAGTTAATATAAATAGACAGAGTTGTATTACACAGTGTTCCCGGCACAACACAGGTGAGTAGGAAGCTTTTGTTGTCATCTTTCAAAGAACTCAGGTGCAAAATTAGACACACATGCAGATAAGAAAATGTTACATTGCTGTTTACTAAGATAGAAGTTGTGGCTCATCAGGTAAACATGAGTTCTTTATGTGATAAAAACAATTCTTGGAGTGAGTGCTTTGGTTGAATAGATGTTGGTCTTATTGGTCAAGTTCTGTACTAATGTGATCTCCCCTCCTGCAAAAAAAAAAGGCTTATGGCCATATCACTTTGAAACACCAGTTCCCACATGATCACTGAAGTTAAGCAAAATCTAGCCTGGTCACTACCTAGATGGGTGACTGCTTGTGAATACCAGGTGCTGTAAGCTTGGATGTGTGGGTGGTGTAATAGATAATAACTTGGAATTGTTAATCAGAGAGCTGAGTTCTAATTCCACTTGGGTTTGTTATATTCACTGACATGAAATGTATGGATTCACTTCTTCTAGCCCTGGTTATGTGTTAACTTGTAAAACTTACATCACTAAACCATTATTATCTCAAAAAAATAATTCTTACAATCTAAAATATTTTCTGGCTTTAAATAAACTGCAAAGGGTGATAAGCCATAAAAATGAATCAATAAAAAAAAACAAAAAAGAACCTAGCAATCAAAGTGGCTGTTTACAACATTTCTTTTTTTTTCACTATTTTTCACTTAATACAAGGCCTAAGATCCAATCAAGATAGAGGGTTATTCAGTTGGTTTGTTTTAGGAATGTAAGAATTGTAGATTATGAGGATATATTGGATATATAACAGTTAATCCTAGTCTTGAAAAGATTAAGGCTGTAGCACTTAAGAAAGTATCCTGTCAGAATCTATTCTACAAAGCAATGGCTCTTGGGAAGAAGATGTCCAAATGGAACTTCCTCCTTACCAATGGAATATGAAGGGAATGTGGATGGTTTGCTTCTGTGTACATGGCATGGTTGATCTTAGCTGTAAAGGTCTGAACTGGTGAAGCTAAGGAATGTAGCTTGTCAGAACATTTTCCATAGGAATAACAATAGAGGAGCAACAGTATAGTGATATGTCTGTGGGTTGTAGAGTGGGAAATAAATAACGCATTGCCTACAAGGCCACATAAGCTTTTTTGAACTATGTCAAGGTTGAAAAGAGAGGATCAGGCTGCTCCAACCCAGATATGACAGCAACACTCCATTTTTGGTTTGATTTAACTCTTGTAAAGATCAAGTTGTTTCCAATTATTCTAGGGACTATTAAGTAAAAATAGTTGTGTATTGGGGAGCAATTTTTGGGCTATTTATAATGTTGTTTAATTTTTTTTTAATTTAAAGAAGTACTTTATTCAAATATTTTTGGTTATTGGAATTTATTCCGTACACACTAATCCTATACTTGTATATATATATATATATATAGTATTTTTGGTTATTGGAATTTATTCCGTATACACTAATCCTATACTTGTATATATATATATATATATATATATATATATATATATATTTAACATAAATATGTTATAAAATCACTACAACACTTCTGGTGTCTTATCATGTGATGGTGTTAAATGTAGAATAAAGAATTACTTTATTCTAGTATTTTTAGTTATTGGAATTTATTTCGTATACACTAATCCTATACTTGTGTATATATATATATATATATTTTAACATAAATATATTTATAAAATCACTACAACACTTCTGGTGTCTTATCATGTGATGGTGTTAAATGTAGAATAAAGAATTACTTTATTCTAGTATTTTTAGTTATTGGAATTTATTTCATATACACTAATCCTATACTTGTGTATATATATATATATATATATATATATATATATATATATATATATATATATATATATATATATATATATATAGGATTAGTTATTGGAATTTATTCCATATACACTAATCTATACTTATATATATATATATATATATATAGGATTGGTTATTGGAATTTATTCCATATACACTAATCCTATACTTGTATATATATATATATATATATAGGATTGGTTATTGAATTTATTCCATATACACTAATCCTATACTTGTATATATATATATATATATATATATATATATATATACAAGTATAGGATTAGTGTATAATGGAATAAATTCAATAACTAGAAATACTAGAATAAAGTAATTCTTTATTCTACATTCAACACCATTACATGATAAGACACCAGAAGAGTTATAGTGAGTTTATAACATATTTATGTTAAAATTTTTGAATAAATTATATATATATATGCATATATATATATAAAAGTTTTGTTGAAAACAACTGACGACATGTGGTAGTTGAGTTTTTATGTAACTTGACATTATTTTGTAGTCTAATAACATAGCCAATTCTCATTCAAATGGTCAGAGAGTTCAACAAGTGAGAAGTGTGAGAGAAGAAATTGTTAGCAAAGAACTTTTGGTTGCATTTAGCAAATTCAGGTGTAAAATGATGAGACCTAGCTGCCAATCCAGTACTGCACTTAAATTCATAAAGTCAAGGTACCAAAAAGGAAAGGTCATCAAGAACAGTGACCATAAAAATATTTTTTAAAATGTCACAGGAAAGCTACATTATGGCAGTGGGAAAGTGACTGAAGCCGAGATGCCAGATCAAGACTAATGACATTACAGATTCTTCTTAGGATTTTATCAAGAAACTCAAGATATATTGCAGAGCCACTAGACCAGATATGGGAGCAATATTCAATGCACAGATGAATGGTAGACTTATAAATGTGCATGATAGAATCTGGCAAAAAATTGTCTAGAACAACACAGTAAACCAACTTTCCTAGCAACAGATCTAGCAATTGATTCAATATAATTGTTCCACTTCATATCAATGGAAAATGTTTGCCCTGGAAGGTGCAATGAGTCATTCTCCTAGAGGTTAGCATCAGCCATGCCAATAAAAGCCATAAAAGACTGTCTAAAACAATTAAAAGAGATCAGTTTTATTAAGAAGGAGTTAAAATTAACAAGTCATTTCTTGCCTCAGTTAACAACAGATTGAAGGTCATTTTTGAGATCAGTTGCCAATTTGTTCTTATCAAACCTATCAAACTTATCATTAAAACAGGAGTAAATAGTTGTGTCATCAGCATAGATACCGAGTTAAAGGTCATTAATGAAAATTAGGAAAAACTTAGTCCAACTATAGAGCCCTGGAGTATTTGAAATCTTGTATTTTTATAATAAGAACTTCCATTACTTTTAAACACTTTTTTTAGTGGAAGGTAAATGGCTATACAAGATTTCCTATTAAAGTAATGTCTCCTATTTTATCACCATGTCAGGCAGTAAAAGGTTAAATCTTGGCAATAATTCATAATTGTTTTCTCCATTATTTGATGCATATATGGGGTCGCTCCAAAAGTAATGCCTTCAACATTATTATGTTGGCATACAAGGCTGACAACAAGAGAGGCAGATATTGATGGTATAGCAGTAAAAGTTGAACCTTTCTGGCAATGACCCATAATTTTTTTTTTTTTTGCCTTGTTACAGATAGCAGTCTGACAAAATAGTGTCTGTAAATATTTCTAATAAAACTAAATATTATAAGCTGAAATTCATATGGAATATTTATCATACATATGTATCCTAAATATTGAAGGCATGGTAAAATAATGGATAGAGGCTCAGATTGAAGAATCAGGGAGCCAAGTACAAATTCTAGTTTAGCTTATTACATTCACTTATGTGCAAATAATCTTGGTAAAGGTATGAATCCAGCCCACAGAAAATAGCAGAACAGACTGAGTTCTATAGCTGGTCAAAGAGAATGAAAGCTCTGAATTCAAAACCTCTAACTATTTAGTCTCATGAAACTGAAACTGGACAAGCATGGCGAATACAGTTACATCCCTGAAAACATAGTCAATCAAGGAGGGGTTCTTCCAACAGGAATGAGAAGGCCCTGAATTTAGATCTGGTGCACTTTCGGCAGCACTGGTGGAATATTTTTAAAATTTTACCAACATCAATTGGTTCTGTCTATATTTCTGAGATGAAGTATTATTTACACTATTTACATTGTTTTGGACTGTTATCCTCATTTTAGTTTTCATATTCATAATGTTTCAGCCATTGTATCCTCCAGCCTTCTTCAAGTGATAAATGTTGGAATTTCAAACCAAACCCTTCATTTTGTCCACTGGGATAGAGTGTTCTAGTTTCATGTGCCATGCCTCTTCCAGATATTTCAGCGATTTCCCTTTTGGTTCAGTTGGTTCATATTGATATTATTATGAAAATCTTTATTTGCATAATAACCTCTAGCTTGGTCAAAAGTGATAGTGAGATCAAGAATTTCATTTTCAAATACCCAGCACAGTTTCTATCTTTATATATTCATTAGTTTTAAGGTTCATGTATCTCATATTGTTTCAGTGCTAATTTTGTAAGAACAGGCAATAAACTGAATATGCTTAATAAAATTCTTTCTTCTGATCAAGCAAATAAGTTTTTCACCCCAAGCAAGGCAACAAAGCCACTAAGGCACATGAGTATGAATGAATATAAGAAAAAGAAAACATTAAAGAGAAAGAACAATAAAAGAACAGAAATTAAGTCAATTAAGAAGTCAAAAGATAACAATTGAAGTTGCAATTACTGGTGTATTATGTAATCTTTGAAGACCCAATTTTAAAGCTAATTTGATTACAGTAAATGGATATATAGTTTGGTCAATGGCGTAACCAGGGTCAGCAGTATATGCACTAATTTTATATGTATGATGTGACCCTCTTAATATTAGCTTCAAAATTAGGTCTTCAAAAGTCACATGATACATGAGTACATATGGTACATTTTTGAAGATCAAACTTGACTGGAAAGCAAGAAGCTGGAAGAGAGTTCTACAAGCAACAAATGCAAGAATGGAAACTATTAGCATAGAACTTACGGTTACATCTAGCCAACTCAAATGTAAAATGATGAGACCTTACTGCCAATCTAGTACTGTGCTTAAATTCATAAAGTCTGAGGGTGAAAGAATATGCAAAAAACTAAAAAGCATTATTAAGCAGAGAGAAGAATAAAAAAAAACAGAAATTAAGAAGACAGAAGATAATGATTAACATTGCATTCAAATCTTTGAAGATCAAAGATGATGGAAAGCAAGAAGATGGAAGAGATTTTCATAAGTGAGAAGTGCAAGAAAAGAAACTGTTAGCATAGAACTTAGTTACATCTAGCCATTTCAAATGTAAAATGTTGAGACCTTGCCACCAATTTAGTACTGCACTTAAATTCATAAAGTCTAGTTACCATAAAGAAAAGTTCATCAGTACAATTACCATGAAAGTTTTTACAGAAAATTTAAAGAGAAGC